TAAAGCGAAATATGTTGAAGTCAGTATCGTACTGAAATTAAGAGGCCTTTATCTATTAAATTGTGAGATAGCAAAGGAATTTCAGTATAACCTTACTATTGGACTTATTGGCTGTGTTATCCTTGACCGCACCTCCTTCACATATTTCTTCGATAGCTCGCTGAGAGGCTCTCCAAATGACGTTGAAAATCCCCGAGTCATTGCTTAGATGCCTAACTAAAATGGCAGGAATGTAGTTCAATGAACGAGGAAAAAAGGAAGCGAAATGAAGTAAGATATTGGGCTGGTCGTGTAGTTTTCCGTGTGACCTAGATTCAGTTCCGTCATCTCCTACGCCTCTCATTTCACTTTTCTTACGGCCCTGATCACCTGGCGCCTTGTTCGCTTAGGCATTGGGCAAGGCAATTGATGTTAAATATATCATGACCTGTCTTGTTACAAGTTAGTACTCAATGAGTTCATTAACTTTATCAGATCATATTTTTGAATGCATGAATAGATGAGAGCACAGTAGAGGTGTATTTATTTCACTTGAAAAGAGAATCACAGAGTGATTCAGATTACCCATATTGACAAATAAATCATAAATATTAAGAAAGACAAAGTGGACGTGTTGAATGGATACATGGAAAACAATTCCGATCTTTTTACGACAACGACAAAGGCTGAGAACTTAACGTTGAGCGGCATACGACAACTAGCAACAAGAATTCAGATAGAGGCCAGGATAAGAGGTAATCTGCGAACGGTCGATGGCGTCTTTCCTCCTGTCAGGTTTCTCTCACTCATTAGTGTTCTGGACTCTGATCGATCGATTTCCAAGTTCATGCGTCCATCTAGGCAGGTGCATGTGTAATTAATTCATTCCAATAGGAGTAAAACATCAAGTGATTCTATAATAACAAGCAGGTGAAGCGGATAGGGCGTTGCGATACATATAAAGATAGGAACAAAGAACATTTTTTAAAAATCAAAACCAATACTTCCAAACAAAATCTCAAAGAGCAATTTTCTCAAATTGGCGAAATTCAGCAAGGGAAATAGGTAAAAAATATTTGACTCAGTGATGAATGTCCCTACGATATTAACCGCTTTTTAGTACGGATTCTTGGTTTTTTAAACTCAATGGCTGAGTGCTGCGCGAAAATACTCAAGCCCTAAGCTTCCTATAAAATAACTGTAATTCTTCAAAAGATTGAAAATTACATTGACCAGATATGATTACTATTTTAGCCATATTCCGGGCGACTTACACCTAATTTAAAAGAAATACTCATTAATAAATAAATATATATATGTATATAATTTTTTATAACTGAAGCAGAACTTTACGCCAATTCCTTCTTCATGGCTACGGTAACATATTGCAGCCCCATATCCACCCGTTTTGAAATGTGATGTTGATTTGGCTCTTGCGCATTCTCGCTTAGTCGCTAACGTCATCTCAAAAACGCGAGATGATGCAAAGGTGACATTCAAAGACGTCGGAGGGATGAGAAAAGAAAAGGACAGACTAGTGGAGATACTGATATGGCCATCGAAGGTACGTTATATAAACCACTGCGATCATCAAAGAAACTTTGTGTGCTGGTTGATCTAAACATGTAAGCGACCCAGGGCTTCTTTCTTTTTATGCAGCTTCATGCAACAAGAGGATTTTATGCTACGAAGCTGAACTCTTGGTTGTGTTAGAGTTTAGCCTGGATAGGATTAAAAATTCCCCAATGAAAAGTTAGTGTTACTCCTTCTTCACCCGACCTGTTTCTTTCCAGCTAAACAGATCTGCGAACCGGACATCCCTGTCCCTAGCCAGTTAATGTACCATTGGAACATTGACTTCTTAGTATGTGATGGCTTAATTAAGTGATTTCAGCTAATTGCTACTACTCGCGTCGTGACGAGTATGCATTATCAGTCAGATTTGAAATGTTTTCTCCTGAAATAGTCATAGCTGAGACCTTTTAACGAATGATACGAATAAACCATTTTTGAAAATATTATTGGAGCATTATCTTCCCTTTTAGTATTCCGACATATTCCGTTCTTACGCAGTTCAAATTGGAAAAGGGGTGCTTCTGCATGGTCCTAGCGGTTGTGGTAAAACTCTGCTTGCTCGTGCAATCGCTACAGAGTCCAAATTCAGTTGCATTTTCGTTAAGGTAAGTCGAATTTGAGCCGCGATTTTGTAAGTTGCATTTCCTATCAGTGATAAGCATGAACAGGTAGATATATGGTAAATAAAAGATGTCTACAACTTTTTCT